GGTGTCAAGTTTAAAAAGGTACCAAAAAGGATATGTAGAATAGAACCTTATAGGAGAAAAAATAATAATCTTTGTTGATTTTGGTTCAGGGCAATATCATCACTGGATTATCGAGAAAAATAAAAGATAAAAATGTTAGGTAATTAAATTTTATTTTGTAAATTACTGTTGAGAATGCCACAACTGCCCTGCCTCTCCACCCTACCAAAGCCAAACATCCCGGCCAGGGGACTGACACTTTTCGTTTTACCCACAAATTAGTAGCAAGTGTGGATAAATGATGTTGCTACAAACTGCTACAATAAACCCCTTTGAGGGTTGAAACTAAAGAAAACAATAGCCACTCAGGTGTTTAATTTCCTCAAATTATTTTATACATGCCATAAAAGACGTGTGGGAAACTATCATTTATGAATTTCTGTAAAAAGCAGTGGGCGGAGGAGAGTTCACTCAAGTAAAGGCCTTTTCTGAATCTTGTTTTGTTTTCAAAAAAAATTTCTCCATTTCTTTAACAATTGAAATTTGCTTTTCAGTTATAAAGTTTGCCTTGGTAAATATATTCTACAATAGACGTTTTGAATTTTTGCATTTGCAACTAAAGTTATAAAACCAAGCCAAGCGTAGACAATGACTAACTAACAATATAATTATCTCCTTTCCCTGTAAGACCTAAACATTTAATTTTTTCCAAAACCCCAGAGGCCTCCATGAAATCAACTGAAACCAAGAAATCTTTGACATTATTCCAAAACACTCTTCTCACGGGACGGTCCCAAAAGAAGTGAATCAGCGTTTCTTGGGTTTACAGACAAAAGCAAGGAAGATCGGTATCTGCAGCTTGAATCGTAAATAAAAATGAATCGATCACAATTCTTCTGGGTTTCATGCTTAAAGTACCTTTGCTAATTAATAGATGGACCCCCATCTGAGTTCACAATGACTTTTCCATTTTGCTTTTTCTTCCATGAGAATCTATTGGGTAGGAAACAAGTGTCAGTTGTCCACATTAACGAGTGTCTGCTGCTGTGTTGAGCAGGTTGAATTTAAAGAAAAATGTAAGGGCTTACCCCAGCGACAAAGCAAACTGTCTGTAATAACTAGGTATCCATTAAGCATGGTTTGACTGTTGTAATGAACAGTGACACTTTTGAACCCAAAACACATTATGTAAATTTCCTCATTGTGGTAAAGTTTTACTCAGTCAAATAAGGTGTTCTTCATGGTCCGTCCAAACTACTTAGAAAACTCTTGGGTAACCGTGTTCTACATTGGGGTTGATCATTTCATACCCAACATTAAGGCACAAGTGGTTATTATACAGTCAAACCCTGCTTTACGGACGCCTCATTATTATAGACAGTTTGCTTTGTCCCTGGGGAAAGAAAGCCCTTACGTTTTCTCTAGATTCGACCCGCTTAATACAGACACCCCATTAATACAAATACTTTTAATGGACCCCTCAGTGTCCCAATTGATGGGGTACTTTGACTGTAGTAATGTTTTAATTAATACCCACAAAATATCGATGAATCTTCCCAACTTTATTTTGTTACTCTTGTTACAACAAACTGGAAAAAACAAGTGAAAGGCCTTCCACTTTTCAAGGCACAGGCCTTTCAAAACCATCACATTTTACTAATTTAAACTAATTTACAATTATTTATTGTGGTGAACCCTTTCAAACAAAAAGTTGTCTGGATTCTGTCTAGGATTTTACCATGTTTGGCAGTTAAAAAAAGATCTCAGATAAATGTGAATTTTGAACAAGAATTTTTAAGCTAGAACCATTGGAATTACCATGAATTTGGATATTTAGTGCAGTTACTGAATGCAAAGTTGACTAAAATTCCCCTTGGTCGCAATGCAGCTGAAAGGTCAAGCCAAGCTTGTTCAAGAAGTTGATTGAAGCCACTATAAAGCTGCTTTTGCAAAATGAGAACGGAAGTTATGATCATGATGCCTGGATTGCTGTTATATAAGTGAAGGGGTTTATAGTCTGTATTTGCAGCTACCTACTTAGGGTTTGTGGATAAACAGCAGTGAACAGATTAGTTTGGTGTGTGCAGGCATGTCAGACCTCCTATATTTCCTATTTTTCCTATAATTTGTATAGGATCCTTTAGAGCCTATATTTCATGAAATCCTCCTATACTTCCTACAAATAGAACACATTCTGATATCTGCATTTTGAACTGTGAAGCAATTTTGTTGTGAATTATCAGTAAAAATAGTATTCCCTTACTAATTCTTCTTATTTGGTGAAGCTAATGAACAATTAAAGAAAAATTTAATACATATACATTCTTTAGGGTTCGAACAGGTCATGAAAAACCTGGAAAGGCATGGAATTTAAGAATTTCATTTTCCAGGCCTGGAAAGTCCTGGAATTCATTTGTCGGTTCTTGAAAGTACATGGAAAATTAAAGTTTTGTTTGATAAATTAGTTACGGTAGATGATCATGAGAAGGCAAGGACAATTATAGAGAGGGGTAATTAAACAGCATGCATTTTGGTGGACACCAGAGTTTGTGTCTGCTATGTTAAAGGTCAAAAAATACCTTAAATAAAACAAGGAAAGGTTTTAAATTTTTGAAACTGATAGCTAAACCTAAGGTCTTGGAAAACTTGAAAAGGTCATGGAAAAAGTCATGGAATTTGAAGAGCTCAAAAGCGTACAAACCCTGTTCTTATGGTATGTTCTTCTTCATCTGACATTGATGGGTTGTTGCCAAACCTGCCCGCTAATATCAAAAGACGTGATGCCAGTCACTCAAGGAACTTAACCACCATCGTTTCTGATTGAGTAACTCTAGTCACTTAAAAATTTGTTTCCTGAGTGGCAGCCAATTAAGAGACAACAAATCAATATTGGTGTACAAAAGAGTAATTGCAAATTTCAAGGTCTGCTCATAGGAATAGAAACGAGAAAAATTACAGAGTTTATTCAAAACACAACCTTTGCAACAAAAGTAATTTTAAATAATATTTTTATCTTAACTTTCGCCATCAAATAACGTTCTAGTCCCCCTTTTACAAATGTTACTGTTTGAGAAGTTTGACCAAATACATTAAAAGCTCAGAATAGTGTATCTCTTGCTTTATATTCATTGTATGAAATCTATTTTAGCTCCTATAAAGAGCCTATATTTTGGCAGAAAATTGCTATATTTTCCTAAATTTTCAACTTGAACGGCCTATTTTTCCTATCAGATTTTCCAAAAAGTGGCTGGAATGCCTGGGGAGATCAAAACACTACTGATCGAGTAATTATAAAAAAAATAAGACATTCATGGTTTGAATGTATATTGTTATCCTTGATTTTATTTTATCTTAAATACACTGAAGAATCATTATTTTTTTACTACAATAATAGCTTTGTACTTTTACCTTCTAATTGATTATATCCTGTCCAGAGCAGAAGCAAAAAAATAATTATTATATTAAAGTGAATAATTATGAAATTTCATAATTATGTAGAAGATGTAAAGAAAGTATATATTAACTTGCAGTTTTCTTTATAATTATTATTATACTAAGTCAGTGACTATTTAATAAACTTCTCCTTTGAAATTTGGACATGCCTTAATACGCTTTTTTTCCTGTTTCTTCATTCAGTTTGAACATAAAATAATTGAGTTTTAAAGACTCTTGTCTTATATTGTACTGGCAAATAAATGACTTAATACTGGCTGAACTTTTGAGTAAATTTAAAATTCTTCAATCTGAACACAGCATTTCACAGCTGCTTTCCTTTTCCCCTTTTATAAACATTAAAATTAATGTGGGTAGATGATGTTTTATTTTTCTGGACTTAATAACACTAAAAACATCCACATACCCACTGGATTATTTGTATACAGAACTTAGAAATAGTGTGACCACCTACGATGCAACTGCAATGGATAAAAAAAGGTCCCATAAAATTTTAAAGAACCTTATAATAAAATAACAAAAAAAATGTTTAGTTTCACCGATTTTTATTCTCGACATTTAAACCATAAATCCATGTACTATATTAAAACATTACTGAATGTTTGAAGACAACAACACAAAACTGGGCAATACATTGTTCTTAACAGTTCTAACCCTGAGAGTGAGATATGTACTAATCATTGGCATTCCTAAATATAAGTACAAAGTAAAAACCCTGTTAATATCATGGAAAGTTTGTCCTTGTTCACAGTGAGAGTTTTAATACATCATTAGCCTTTTACAACTTTGGTCCTCGGAACCATCATGTTACAATATCATTTAAAAATTTGGTTATCACCAGGAACATCATGCACCCAGTAGGGATTTGTGTTGAATTAAGATTTCTCTCACTTGACCTCTCACTTATTCAATACCACGAATTTCTTTGTTTTTTTCCTTTTTTATTTACACCTACAAAATTATTGTAAGGGTGAATTCAAGGGGTCGCCTCGACAAAAGTCTTATTTTTTTAAGAAACACTTGATCTATGTGGTGGGAGTCTCTTTCCAAACTGCCTTGTTTTCATGTATTTTGATTTGAATTTAGCTCAAATTTGAGGCCCTGATTATGCTCTTTTCCTGGTACCCCTTTAAATGTAAGTGGGCTCTTTGGTTAGACAAAACTAGAGTGAAAATAAAAGTTCAGGTTTAAATTTTTAGATATTCACTCCTATGGCCATAATAAGTGAATAATAAGCATTAGGAGACAAAGGAAATTGTAAATAGACCTAGTAGGCTGGATTAGATGTGTAACATACACAGTAAAACCTTGATAATTATATAACAAAGGACCAACTGACACAGGCAAAATGTGTTCGCTATAATGTGGTTTGGTTATTTTGAGGTTCTTTTCCATATATTTTACTATTACTGGGACAAAAAAATTGTTTGTTTTACCACGGACACTGTTATAATATATTATAGAAGTTTGTTATATCGAGGTTCCACTGTATGTCATTATCATACCCATTCACACAATGCACAATATGACACCTGGATTAACTGCAAGCAATGCTCACAAAACCATCACTAAACATAAGTTTCTGAGTAACTGCAGGTGCTGGCATTCTCACTGCTACAAGAGTCTTTGCTATCAGTTTGAGATCCTGATATTCGTTCATTTCCTGCTGTTTTTTTAAGGCTGTGACAACTGACATTATCTACTGGCTCCATTTTCCATATTTCCCCCATTTCAATGTCTGTCTTGTTCAATGTACTTAGCAGTTTTTCTCCTTTGCCAAAAGACACATTGTTGGTTGAAGTTTCATTCAACTGAATTGACTTGGTATCACCTTGACCTTGAGGAACATTGTCATTACATGCTTCACGTTCACTGACAATTGATCCCTCTGTTTCTGTTTCATCATTAACAATGCTGGGATTCCATTCTGGTAGCTCATCTTTATCCACCAACTGACTCAACATTGCTTGCATTTCACATGCAAAACTGCTGCCAAGATCCTCGTAAGACATTCTTAAACTGCCAATTTCTTGTGCATCATCATCCATAATAAAAGGGACCATTGCATCTGTCTCATTTTCTCCAGTACCTAAACCATCATTCTCATCTTCACAAATATTTGTGACACCACTACTTTTAAGAAGCAATCTGGTGATTTCTAAAGGTTCATTACTGAATTCTACTGTTGGAGTCTCACTTAATGACTCACTCTCAGCTATTTCAACGGGCAAAAGGCCTGGCTCACTGTACGATACAGCATCACAAGGAACTCTGTCTAATGCTGGTGTCAGCTGTAAATCTGCTGTGGTAGAAACAACTTCAAAGGTTTCTTTGCTGTTTGTTTCAGGGATGCTCAGGCTTGCAGCAATCATTAAGCTCATTTCTGTTTCCTGCTTCTGTTTTTCATAGTGATGTTTAACACTTGGTATAATGCTTGCAATAATCATGCAGATAACAATAAAAGCCATAACTGAAAGTATGATCACAGTGGTTAAGCTTTCATCATCATCATCATCTTCATCATACTTCTGTTTTCCTTGTGCTGCTGCTTTCAGTTCTCCATCAGCTGATGTCCCTTCAAAATCAACTGTAACATTTGCTGAAGACAGGGCTAGAGTATTGAGATTAGTTCTATCCACTGTTATTTTGGTTGTTGATCCAACATAAAAATGGCTACTTGAAGAAAACATTGCTTGCTGGGTGATTACCGTTTTCATCACTGTTACAAGAGGAGTGGGAGTCAGATACATACTTGTCCAAAGAGATGTATTTGTAGGCATAATAGTGCTTGAAAACATTTCATTGCAAGGCATGAATGGATTAACTGCACTGTATGTGATAAAAAATCCTGACCAGGCAAGGGCATCATCACTGTGGAATTTCAAGCGAACACTGTTCCCAGAGCTGCATACAACAGAAGGTGGTGGATTACTATTACAATACTTTCCAATTAGTGGTGCATTTGAATGAGATCCATTCCAAATTGTGAGGTGATCATGAGGACATCTCTGGCGGTTTGCATCCCCTTCAATACTAAATTGCACAAAATTTAAGCGTAATGATTTGCCTTCTTGTACGGTAATGGTCCAAATACACTTGGAATTGTGAAAGTACTCCTTTGGAAAATTCGGTGACTTAATCTCACCAGTACTTCCATGCAGACACCCACCACACCCAGGGAAATAGACAGAGTAGAATCCAACTTGTGGATCTGATGCATTGGATTTGAATCGCACCCAAAACTCTCCGCTGTTCGACATAACAAGAGGAGGGGGGCGGTCAAACCCACAATACTGGGCTAATACTGTTGCTGTTGAATATGGCATGCTTCCATCTCTCAGTTCTGTGTAACCATTACTACAAGGTACATTAAAATTAATGAAGTCAAAATTCAGTTTGGTGATGTTGGGCAATTTTACATGCCACAAACAATCTTGGTCTTCTTGTGGGGAACTCTGGGTGATAATATTTCCTGGTTCTACACTTAAATCTCCCCCACAACCAAAAGTACAACCATACAACTCCAGTCTCATGCAAACAAACGAGAAATAACTCAGTGGATAGACTCGTATAAATCTTGCGGTTATTTCAGGTGTTAAAATATTAAGGGCTGTTCCATTTCGCCTACTGTTTCCACGAATTACTGTTTTATTTATCCTGTCCTGGTACAACTTCCAGGCAAATCCGTTTGTACTGTACATAAGTTCATATTTGCTAACACGACCCATCCTAAGGGACAACAATTCCGCCGCAGGGTAAAACCCCTGTGACGCAATAGCTGAAATTGCCGTCATTTTCTTTAGGTCTATTTGAAGATACAGTGGCTCAAGAAGGCTGTCAGGATTCATTGAGCACCAGGCAGATTTGCCATTCAATCTGGCAGCCGAAGCTGGAAAATCTTTGTGAGAATGTAACGCGGTAATCATGGAGTCTTTTATTCGTCCGCTTTCTAAACCCAAAGCAATATTGCAGTCGTCGCAACTCGTCGTCCGCCTGCTTTCGCCCTTGCATTCGTCGCCTCCGTTTTTAGGTGCTGGGTTAGAACAGCCTCGTTCTTTATAGCGAAATGGGGTCTTAATTGGTTCAAACGTCATTTGGCAAGTACTCCATGACGACCAAGAACTCCACTGTCCATCAATGGGACGGGGTTTGCTTCCCCAGTTCCATGGCATCCATGAATTTACACAAACTCCTGTCGGGACGAAAACTGCTTGAGCTATCGAAAAAAAAATCAGCCGTGTGCCGCAAAGGCCATTCATGATATCCACACTTTGTTTTGTTTCCAAATTTCCTAGTGACCTTTGTACAAACCTGAGGCAAGATTCGGAGTGATAGCAAAGATAAAATATAATCCGATGAAATTAAGTGTGTAGTAGAACTTACAAAAACTCGTTTGGCCTTGTTTACACATAGAGGTCACATTCAATATTAAACGTTCCAATAAGTTGCAATGGCTTGTAGTACGATATTGCAATCTCTTAGTTGCTTTGTTTTCTTCAAAATGGAAGAATATTGGGGCGGAGTTTGTTGCTTTACAGCCAATGCAGTCGCAGTACTTGTAACGGCACATGATATGATATTTAATACTAGGGTGTTGATATATAATAACAGGGTGTTTATTACTTAATCGCCGGTTAGTTACTATATTAAACGTTTGCTTGCCAACAGCGAACTATGTGTCAAACTTGCTTTTTATGGTAGCTCTTATTACTATCATGGAGGATATTTTTGATGCATAGTGGGGTCGCTTCATGATAGTCGGAACAATGAAGATATTTTCAGTCTATTGTGTCATCCATGGAGACCCCGGATGGAGACCCGGTGTACATTGACCTACGTTACATAGAGTGTAACGCCAGGAGCCCATGTTATGGGCTCCTGGTAACGCTGACATACAATCGGCTCCCGATAACTCTAGAGAGAACGGAAAAGGGTTCGAATTGGCGGGAGTTTGAAGCAAATAACCAGAAATAAGAAATGGGATGGGGAATGAATGCAAGTGCGCAACATGCACACTTCAAAGAAGGCGTCTTCAAAACTTGATAAGTACACAGTGCTGGACACTATTTAAACTGGACCGACAAAAAAGTAAAGACAGAGAATACGTTGTTGTTGAAATATTCCCGGCGTAGTCAATCGAACGAAACCGAACCAAAAATCAGTCGAACCCTATCGGTCGGATTGTTGGTCGATTGGTTCGGTAATCGAACCTAATCAAACTGGAACTTTTCGATGAGTTCGATTACCGAACTCGATCGAAGCGATTAGTTCAATTTTGTTTGACAGAAAGACAAAACGCATCCAGATCTCCCTCTAGTATGTATTTGAAGCGGTTTGAGAACAAAAACATTTCAATTAACCCGGAATTAACTAAAATCTTTATTGTTTAAGTGATTCAAAATCGATACTGGGAAACATACAAGCACAGGCACCAGTTCACGTTGCAAATGTCCAAGTTGGCCGCGGCCATCGTCAGTTATCTTCAGAGGTGGATCTCCCTTTTCCTTCTTAATAATAAACTTTTCACCGGCACTGACGGTGAAAGCTGGCACTCGTAGTAGCCTTTAACCATTGTTTCCAGAATTTTTCACATTTTCCGTCCTCTGTGACATCTTTTCGTACTCGAGTTTGAAATTGAAGCCAATACATGACTTATTTGAACGCATCGCCTTTTGTTTGAAAGCAGATGAAAGTGGTTTTATGTTCGATTGTTGCATGCAGTTCTCGATCATGTTCGATTGTTCATGTGTTCGATTTCCGAATGTTCGATTGTGTTCGATTGGCAAAATGTTTTGGTGAGTTCGATTACCGAACCCAATCGAAGTCAATCGAAAGATTGGAGTTCGATTGGGTTCGATTACGGAAAGTTCAATCGACTACGCCGGAAATATTTCAATGTTTCGGACTGCAGTACACTTTTTTTCGACTTGTCAGGCGATTAAGGGCCTCTTCTACCGGGACTAATTTCGCCTTGGGTTCAAGTGAGAAATTTCAGTCCGGTTTCCGAGATGAGAACAGGTCAAATATCCTCGCGACGATTTCTGGCGCGAAATGCGAAAAAGCAAACATGCCGAAGCACAAAAATCAGTCATAACTTTCGCGCCTGTCATAGCTTGGGTAACTCTTATAGCTGTATCACTGCAGTTAAATAGGATGCTCATGATGTGGGAAATACAGCAGGCAAAGCAAGAAGATCCGGGCGGTCAGAGCTCATCCCGCTTTGCCGCTTACTGAGATCCCCGATGGAAAAACCGAGATCTCGGGAACCGATTCAGCCCCTCCTCTCAAATGAACACATCGAAAATTTTACAAAGGATTTAGAGATGAGGCGGGATCTCGGAAACCGGGCTCATGTGAAGAGACCCTAAAAAGCATGGTTCGAGTTGTCGAGGGTAAATTTATATAGAAATGATCTGAAAGGAAACTGGCAAAAACTACTTCGAGTTAGAGGGAGGTTGGAGTTAGCGAGGCTTCGAGTACCTAGGGTAAAATTATAGTAAATGTATGAAGGAAATCCAGGGGACATTGATTTTGGTTCGAGTTATATGAACGCAAGGTTCGAGTTATCGGGAGTCGACTGTACATTTTTTCGAGCATTTCAGTTAGGCCTATATCTAAACATCTATTGTTAGGGGAGTATTAAATGGAGCATTAAATAAACAAAAGCGTGCATTAAAACCCCCTAAAATCGATAAGAAAAAAAGAACGTTGGGCCCTTACGTTTGAAAAGCTTAAAATATTGGTTTTCTTTAGAAGCGAGCCCTTTTTTCAATGTTTCAGGACTCCAGGGGCACCCAACGAGAAAATAGTTTAAAACCACTTAAAAATAGCATTGTTAAACGTATTTTAGTATTTAAACGATAGATATAGGCATATTTTTGTCCCCTAAAAATGTTTCATCTGTTCGGATTTCCTAGCTGAAAGTCTAGTAATGCGAAAATTAAAGGGATCAAAACTTACCTTTTCGAAAATTTCAGCCAGAAAAAAG